AGCAATGCATCGTTTCCTGACAAATTATTGATGATGTCAAAAGTTTTGATATTTGAGGGGCTGTTTTCAAAAAAAAAATCTTTAAGAAACTATTTTTATTCATATAAAATTCCATTTTTAGAGGTATTTTCAAATCGGCCCAGCTCACTTAAATCTTAATATTTTTGCGAAATATTTTGGTGGACGTCTTAAAATATAATAGATTTTATAATTCCAATGGAAAAATAGCACCGATAATTTTTGTATGGGGAGTGATGCATTCTAATGTATATACGTATGTATGCATAACAAAATGCATACCCAAAACAATCGCGAAAAATATCTCCCATACAACGTCGTTGAAAATTTTTCGCGATAAGTTTATCGCGATAAGCTGTTGTGAGTGATCGCGAATGGATTATTTGCATCGTTTTTCTCATTTATGTGAGGCCGGCATCGGCAATGCTCGGACTTCTCATATTCGAGTGAGAGGAAATTTCTTTGCTTTTTTCGATCGCGAATGAAAAGCAGCGGAAATTTTTTTGTAGATCGCATTCCGAATGTGAGAGATGATAAATTTGTTTGCATTTTTCACTCGCGATAAAAGAATGCAAAAATTGATTTGGAATATTATCGATCGCGAACGTGAGAGAATGTGAGTGAGAATTTCCGAACCCTGGTCAAAACATAGCACTCCAAATGATGCTTTTCGGGCGGCTTTCGCCGAACTTAAGGCTACCTATAAATCTAAAGGTTGGTCCTTTCTTTACACGGATGGTTCAAAGTCTACCCACACAACATCTTTCGCCGTTGTAACTAACAAAGGCGATGTTATTTCTAAATCGCTTCTGCTTTCAACATGCTCTATTTACACTGCCAAAGCTACTGCAATCCTACAAGCCGTTAATTTTGCGACGAAAGACAAAGGAGAATATGTCATCCCGATAATAACAACGATTAGAAATGCTGTAATCGGCGCTCCACAGAAGTTGAGAATCTTATGGGTCCCTGGACATGTTGGCATAGTTGGAAACCATCTTGCTGACAGCGCTGCTAAAGGCGTAAGCAAATCGCCCGCTCTTACTATGAGCATGTTCACTAAAAATGATCTCGAATATCTAATAAAGAGTATTTGAAACAAAAAGATACAAACGAATGGACTAGTTTCACCCACAATTACACCATATTTAACCCCAAACGGATACAGCCGATGTTCCCATCAACGCTGAAAGCAAACATCATCAGACCATACGTTCGCATCAGGATAGGTCATACCATACTAACACACTCACATCTGCTAACTGGCGGTCCTCCATCTTCATGTCCTCTTTGCGGCAGCACAGCATCAGTACGACATATTCTCTGGCTTTGTCCTTATTTAAATAATTCAAGCTCCAAAAATAACATTGACCTAAAGCAAGCGTTGAGTGTACCATCTGAAAACAACATTCGCCTGATATACACTTCCATAAAGGACAATGATTTTTTAAAATTTATTTGATCTAATTACTAAGTAGACGTTAAGAAAATTTTACTAAAAAACTAAACAACTTATTAATAAGGCAGCTGAAGGCCTCGTAGCCAGTGCTGCGTTCCCATGTATTTATATAACAAATTTTTGTTGTATAAATTATTAAATAAATAAATAAATAAATATTTGATATGCCCAAGAAATTAATACAACAAAAAGATCAATCTTTTACGGGCATATCGCCGGGTCGTTACGTACCAGTTGCGATAATGTGATGGAGCTTAAATTATTCAAAAAGAAGGCTGACGTTTTTTTTTTGTCGTGTGTTGTTAGATATCTCGAAAATAACTTTCAGTTTAATAACAACGAATTTGCCTATAACTTACAATTCTTCTTTCACAATTCACTGACATTGTAAAAAAGTTTTGCATACGAGACATAAAGTTAGATACTCTTTTCAGCGAATTCTTAGTCTTTCAAAGTTTTTGCGTAGTTGTAAAAGTTAATTTAAGCCATGAGGAAATATAGATGAAGTTCTTAAATAGTGGTACTTTTCCACATTTTGAAAAAATATGTAATTTAGTTTTTTTTCAATACCACACTCAAACGAAGAAACTGAGAGGATCTTAAGTATATAGTTATTTCCTGACGTAAAGAGAGAAATCGGCTTCTAATTAAAATTTTTTAAAGTGAGCTTCAAATTAAAATTAATTTTAAAATGAAATGTATAGAATTCTTTGACTATGTAAACACTGAAGATTCAAATAATCTCATTATTGAGTATTCAAAAATGTCAAAAAAACTAATATATAAAAATCTCGTGTCACGGTGTTAGTGGTCGAACTCCTCCTAAACGGCTTGACCGATCTTTATGAAATTTTTTGTGCATATATGGTAGGTACGAGGATTGGATATAAAGTATATTTAATACCGCTAGGTGCAAGGGGCGTGGCCCTCCCATTCAAACCGAATTTTTTATACCGCATGTCTCTGGAAGTGTTCGTGGTAGAGTACTGGAACTTTGTATGGAGATATATGAAATCAATCACATGGTCAATCAAATTGGTGTACAAAAAATTTATTTTGGGCGGGACAGAGTTCGCCGGGTCTGCTAGTATAAAATAATTTCTTGGCTTCTGTGTACAATGATGTGTACACTCATGTTAAAATGAATAACACTTTTATTTTTTATAAACTACTAGCAGACTCGGCGAACTTCGTCCCGCCCAAAATAAATTTTTTGTACACGGTCAAAAATTTGGGTTTAATTTTTAAACCGCGCTGGGACTACTGCCTTTTTTAATCTTTTATAGTCTACTTTTTAAACCAGTCAATAGTTTTAAGCAATTTTTAACATATTGTGGTTCAAATTTTAGTCCAAAAATTTCGTGGTTTAAAAATCAAACCAAAATGTTTTAATTCTAGTTTCTAGGTTTCATATATAGAAAATTTGGTTTAAAATCTAAACCGAAATAGAAAATGTTTGCACACAGCGAAATGCGGTGTTGATTCAAACTCAACATATGAAAGCACATTTACATGCGTGGCTGTAGCTGAGTGTGCAAAGCTGCTTGATACAATTGGTTGCTACTAAGGCTGTCCGGGTTAAATCCCCATCAGACGGAGCATGAAAATTTATTTTTATTTTTTATTCTTAATTATGAGAATGTTTGGGTTTAAAATTTAAACCGAACTGTTTAAATTCTAAACCCAACATACATATGTGCCCTCTTTTTTTTTAATTTATAAGGTTTGTATTTGAAACTGAATTTATGTAGTTTGGTCATATATGTAGTCCAAAAAGTTTAAAATTAAAACCGAAGTTTTTACCCGTGTATTGAGATACTTTGGTCCAACATTTTCACCAAGAGTTCACGTTCATGATTTTTAGTGACGCATTTGTCTTCTAATATTACGGTTTGGTGGTTGTCAGAACGCATATTTGCCGTCTTAAATAATAATAATAATAATAATAGATTGGCGCTTACACATATGTTAGTGTTTGGCGGAGCTTCTCCTCCGATTTGTGGCGTGCGCCTTGATGTTGTCACACAAAGCGGAGGGACCTACAGTTTTACGCCGACTCCGAACGGCGATTGTATTTTTATGAGAAGCTGTTTTTCATGGCAGAAATACACTCGGAGGTTTGCCATTGCCTGCCGAGGGACGACCGCTGTTAAGAAAAAACCTTTTTTCTATATTTTTGCGATGTTGCTTTGACCAGGGTTTGAACCCAGGCATTGTGGAGTGGAAGCGCGCACTGCTTACCACTACACCACAGCGGCCGTCTTAAATAACTTAGCAAAACTGTACATGCATATAAATATACGTAATAGTTTCAGTGCGTTTGAAAGGCGCCACGTCCCCTTTTCAAATAACTCCAATTTTCTCTAAGAGCATGGGATTGATTTCATATATCTCTATACCATTTTCGAGTAATTTACCATGGGAGGTGCCACGTCCCTTTTTCCAATAGCCCCAACTTTTCTTAATGACCAGTCGCGTTTTATATATCTTGTACATACCAAGTTCCAGTACTCTTCCATGAAAACATTCAGAGATATGCAGTATGAAAAATTCGATGTGTATGGGAAGTGCCACGCCTCCTTTTCCGATAACCACAATTTATCTCCATGAGTATGCGATTGCTTTCATATATCTACATACCAAGTTCGAGACCTCTTCCATGAACATTTTCCGGGATATGCAGTATGAAAAATTCGGTTTGTATGGGAGGTGCCGCGTAACGTTTCCAATAACCGCAATTTTTATCCATGAATATGCAAATGTTTTCATATATCTCCATGCCATATTCGAGTAGTCTGCCATGAACACTTCCAGAGATGTGCAATATGAAAAATTCGGTTTGTATGGGAGGTGCCACGCCCCCTGCACCTAGCGGTATGAAATATACTTTACATCCGATTCTCATACCTGCCATATATAGCACAAAAAATTTCATAAAGATCGGTCGAGCCGTTTAGGAAGAGTTCGATTTGTATATGTATATTAGATAAGCACGATGCGAGAAGCATACACTGAGAAAAAAACGCGTTGTAATAATAAAAATATTTTATTTGATTACCGTTTAAAAATGCTCGTATTTAAATCACGTGGAAAGTGTTAACAAAATGGAGTTTTCCATTGTACATACACTACGTATAATGGAAATATTCAATTCAAATACGTATTAAAACTAAGCATTTTCACTGCACGGCTGGCGTTTTGCACGCTTCGGATGCTTTTTCATATGTAATTAAGAAAGTATATGTATACAAAGCATGCACAGCGGTGACAACACATACACACGTACACACATACATGGTATGACATAATGCACTAATCGCGCGCTGTGATGTACCCTCCAGTACTGCAGGAGTCAATCGCTACCTTTGAACCGCTACTGCACCGACTCCTAGGTAACTAGCTACTC